CTTTTTTAAAAATTATCTTTATTGTTTAAAGTATTAAAGATGTCCCCTTTGTTTGTTTGTGGGGTTTTTTCCCATTGACCCCCTCTACCCCGTACCCCCGCTCCGAAGACTTCACCAATCTATTGTCTGTGTCCATGGACTATGCATATATGCATATAAGTTCCCTGGTTAATCACTCCCCCCTCCACCCCTTCACGGCCACCTTGTCTCTGAGATTCATCAGTCTGTTCCATGCTTCTATGTCTCTGGTTCTATTTGATTCGTCAGTTTGTTTTGTTCATTAGATTCCACATATGAGTGAGATCATGGGATACTTATCTTTCTCTGACTGGCGTATTTCGCTCAGCATAATACTCTCCAGGTCCATCCATGCTGTTACAAATGGTAAAAGTTCTTTCTTTTTTACAGCTGCGTCATATTCCATTGTGTAAATGTACCACAGCTGATGGGCACTTGGGCTATTTCCAAATCTTAGGTATTGTAAATTGCACTACTATGAACATAGGGCTGCATATATTCTTTCTGATTGGTGTTTCTGATTTTTTATGTTGACCACTTTTTAATTTGGTTGTTTGCTTTCTGGTGTTGAGTTGTGTAAATGTTGGATATGAAACCCTTATAGGATGTATCATTGACAAATATCTTCTTCCATTCAAGCTTATATTTTTGTCTTGTTGATGGTTTTCTCTGCTATGCAAAAACTTTTTAGTTTGATGTAGTCCTATTTGATTATTTTTTCTTTTGTTTCTCTTGCCTAAGGATATATATCAGAAAAAAATATTGTTATGAGAAATGTGGAGATATTATTGCTTTTTCTTTCTTCTAGTAGTTTTATGGTTTCAGTTCTTACATTTAAGTCTTTAATCTACAGTATTTTGAGTTTATTCTATGGTCTAAAAAGGTGGCCTAATTTTATTTTTTTTGCAGGTATCAGTCCAAATTTCCCAACACCATTTATTGAATAGATTGTCTTTACCCCCATTGTATGTTCTTGCTTCCTTTGTCATAGATTAATTGATCATAAATTCCTGTGCTTTCTATTCTATTTCATTGATCTGTGTGTCTGTTTTTATGCCAGTACCATGCTGTTTTGATTACTATAACTTTGTAGTATTTTTTTTTTATATCAGGTGGTGTAATACCTCTCACTTTGTTCTACTTTTTCAAGATTTCTTTTGGGGTGATTTGTGTTTTCATACAAATTTTAAGATTGCTTTTTCTAGTTCTATGAAATATGTGGTTGATATTTTGATAGGACATACATTAAATCTGTATATTGCTTAGACATTTTAATGATGTTAATTCTCCCTATCCATGAGCACAGTATATGCATCCACTCATTAGTATCTTCAATTCCTTTCTTCAATGTCTTGTGGATTGTTAACTGATAACAATCCAGTATCAGTAAGATTTAGTGATTAAAACTGCACTTCATGTGAATTGTTAAACAAACAACAAAAAAATCTAGCAGTGGAGAGAGGGAAGAAGGGGAGAAAAAAAGGAAAGGGAGTGACCTGGTTTAAGAAAAGGCAAGATTGTTAGAAATTTAAAAGCACAGGTGGTTAGAGGAAAACGATATTTTTGAAGAAAGTCATGTGATAGAAAGGAGTCCATTATGAAAGCATTGGGTTTGTGGTTTAACACCTGTTCTTCAGTTATATGATTTGTCAATTTATTCAACTTATTTAGCTGACTCACAAAGCCGCATTGCTCTCTTCGGGCACATGGGTAAAGAACAGGCAGAAAGATAACCAGAAAACAGTTATTTGCTTGTTACAGCATTGCCCCTTGTAACAGATTTTTTTTTTTTTTTTTTTTTTTTTTTTGAGCGACAAGAATGTTTATTAACTGGCTTCTACATAAAGTCCCAGTCCTGGAAGCTGTCAACAGACTCCATGGCCTTCACTAACCTAAGGTCACTGACCCTTTTTTTCCTCTGTCAGAATTATTGATTTCACAGGGGTTGGGAATGTTCAGCCTGCGGGCCACATAAGGCCCATGGCATCACTTGGTCTGGCCCTGCCAAGGCATTAGGGGTGAGTTAATTAAATGTTTGATCAAATATGGCCGCTAATTTTTAAACTGGTAATATTGTATGGCCCATGAATGATGTTATAAATATACAAATGGCCTTTGGCAGAAAAAAGGTTCGCACCCCGGGTTTAAGCCAAGGATGGGGGGACCCGAGTCCATGATGACCAAGATTCAAGAAGAGAAGTGTGGCATGGCGAAGGCTGAGCTGTTCCTGTCCATCCCTGGGGCAGCCCAAGAACCCTTTAGTCATCACTGAGCCAATCTAGTTCAAGGGCAGCTGTGATCCTTGTCCTTGAAGGGGAAAGATCCAGAACAGGCCAAGCCCCAGTCTGTCCCCACAGACACAGTTCTCACTGGGGCAGTGGCAGAGCTGAGGTCAGTTCCTATTAGTCCTTATTCAAAGGGAGATGTCGCCTGTCTTTGCCTGCGTTTCGGCGCCTTTTTCGACTCAAGAAGCTGTCTAGCTTCTTGCTGCGTTTCAGCTCCTTGAACTTCTCAGCTAGGACCAGCTGGCGCTGTTCAGATTTCTTCAGGAAGTACGGACGATGGCCCTGCTGGGCCTGTGCCCGCCGCTCCTGCTTCAGAGCCAGGCGCAGCTCCTGCTGCCGCTTCCGTTCCTGCTGTGCCATTTCTTGCTGCTCCATTCGCTGAAGCAGCTGCTGCAGCTTCTCATGCTTCTCCCCTGAACGGTGCTTCTTCAACTGCTTTTTCACAAGCTCTTTCTCTTTGGCTCGGATGTCGTTCAGGAATTGATAGGTTTTGTCAAACACTTCAGGATTATATTCCCCTGACAAATCGTCAAAGCGGGGGTCCCGGGCTACCTTCTTACTGATGGGGACAACTTGACGCAAAAATGGCACCCGGACCTTGGCTGACATTTCCAGAGGCCTGTGCTTATCTGCAACACAGGCATTTTGGACAGGGGGTCTAGAGCCTTGCTTCTTAGTGCTGCTTCCAGCTACCAATTGTTTGTATGTCTTAGTCCCCACTTGGCTCTGCAATTCCAACAGCTCCTCAAAGGACATGTGAGATGTGTCCTTCCGCGGGCCCCCGCCGCCATCTCCGCTATCCCCGGCCCCGAGGGAGAGCCGGCGGGGGGCCCGGCGCGGGACCTCGCTCTCGGCATCAGCTCGCACGGCGCGGACCAACAGCGTCCAGATTTTTTTAAATAGAAGTATGTAGGCCAGTGGTTTCTTCAGAGGGAAGCAGTCTTCACATTCCAGCAACTCATGGAGAGGTCCTTGAAAAGAACAAGCGGTGCACCCAGAAACATGCCCAGAAGACACAGGCATTCCCTGGATCGAAACATTAGATTTGCTTTGAAATAGCTGAGGTGGTGCTGATCTTCTGTAAAAGAAAGTAGGACTAAAACCCAACGAAGCCATTCATCTTGGGACTTTGGGTAAGAGTAGGTTTGGCCAATCAGTTCATGGCCATCATTTTATTCAATGTACTTGGCTCCTCAGGGGGTGGGATTTAGGACTCCAGGTCTAAGGAATCAGCAGATGAAGAAACTAATTTAAGAAGGAAAACAAAAACAAAACCTTGAGTACTAGTGGCAAATGGAAGACCTGGTTGTGTGCAAACAGAATGCCAATGGTTGGCATGGCATGTAGGGGTGAAAGTCAACCAACTAGGAGATCAGAATCCAGACTCCAGTTTGCACTCAGTATAAGTCACTTTTTATGTCTAATTCTTTTTCCTTCTTTCTGTAATATGAGCAGATTTTTATGAGATGAGCTATGAAACTTACTATCATCTAATAGTCTATTATGTAACAGAACTGAGAACGGGGTAGAAGTAAACTTAAGGAAATCATCATTTATTCACATCAAAGTAAAACTAGAAAGGTTAGAACAAACAACAGAATAATCGTTATACAATTATATGATTTTTAAAAATTGTTTTCTGGCATCTTTTGCTACTTTCTTCAAATTCTACTAAAACAGTTGACCTTTTCTAGTATCCCTATATAACGAATTTCTAGGTTTGCTGTCTTTTCAAAGATTAACCCTTCCAACAATGTCTAGAAGTTGCATGGCTTGAAAGGTGGGATATAGATTTTCTGTCTATAGGGTACAGAGATTGATTTAGTTTTTTAAACTAACATAATCCTCACATACAGATCTTATATATTATTATGTAATACCATTTAAAGTCTATCTCAATCGAAGTCCTGAAGGCTAAGAACAATAGATTAGGTGCTGAGTCTTCACATCCCAAGTCAAGAGACTGGATGAACTAGATCAGCGATTTTCAACCACTGTGCCACGAAAGTTTTAAAACGTGCAATACCTGATTATGTAGTCGAGGCCACTGACCTATTTTCCCTTATATTGTCAAATAAAAAAAAATGACAACAGCCAACTCAACAATAGCCATCCACTGTGAATGAATCAAAATTACACCTATATTTTTTGTGCGATAGGCAAAAATATATTTTTTGGTGTGCTGCAGAATTTTAGTAATTAGTTTATGTGTGCCATAAGATGAAAAGGGGTTGAAGATTGCTGACCTAGATGAGACATGCCAAGACATTATAAAACCAGGTTTTTCAATATCAGCAGTTCACAGTGGATTAACAGCAAATTAACTTGCACAGGCTCCACCCAGACAATGAATAATGCCCATGAAAAGGAGATTTGGTTGCTGCACCAGAAACTTGGGAGCACCCTGAACCTTAAAGCTCATATATAAAAGAAACTTTCTAGTGGTTTCCCAAAATTTTATAAGAATTTCAAAAATGTACATGGCAGATACAATAAAGAGGGCAAAGGTGGAAGAAACTTTTAAACTAATAGTAAAAAACAAATTTTAATTAACCATGCAAGAGCAAAAATTGAAATACCTTCATAATATATCTATTAAAAATAGTATTTCTAAATCATTGGCATATGAAGAAGATATCAAAGAATATGCAACCAAAAACATATGAGAAAAGGTATTTTAGAGGTGTGTCGATCAGTTAATTTTTTAAAAATTTTGTTATTTTTTTAATTTTTGTGAGATTTAGGGTACTTGTAAGCTTTTAAAATTTTTTAATTAGTTCTGATTTCTCTTCATCCTCTTAGTAAATATTCACATTCATTCCTAATTTTGCATTTGTTCTTTTGTGTTCTGTTTGTTAACACCCCCACAAAACTGTATCAGCTTCAGGTCCCACAAAAGACGATGGCTCCCTGGTGATCACACACCTTCAGTGACTAAAGAATGAAGGTGAAGAGTTTAAAGAGAAGATTCATTTGTGTCCCCTTATATCAAGCCAAATAACCCCCACTTTGATGGATAAAGATGCTAGAGAAGCTGTTAGATCACTGTGTGTCCCCACAGTCCCCCACCCCTTCCATCTCAGTCAGGTGAGAACAGCTGTGAGAGAATAATCTTGAGACATTAGTGAGTATACCCTTTGGATGAAATGGTGTCTGAGGCTTCCTTAGAGATGTCTATGGTTGGAGTGGTTTCTTTTTTTCAGAAACAGGAAATTGGAACATTGGGCACAAGCTATACTTTCCAAGGAGTAGGTAGGGCAAGGACGCCTGACAAGAGTCAGGTAGTTCCCTGGGAGGGAGTAGACTTAGGAAGTGTTAAAGGGGCCCCTACTCAACAGAATTGCCTGGAGATGCAAAGAGACTCTAACAGAGAGAGGCTGTGTGGGGTTAATTGCCCCCTCTCTGAGGAAAGGAAGAAAGCTTCACCTTAAGTGAAGTTTAGAGTTCTGATCACTGTATTAAACTGGGCATTTTAATTATTGATTGTGAGTATCCTCGTGGCTGAGTGACCCATCTG